GTCCTGGCTCCCGGCAGAGGTGGAGGCCAGCGAGGGGTGGGACCTACCATGGCAAGCCCAGCGAGAGCGGTCTGGACGCCTCCGGGGCAGGCGAGGGGGGACGCGGGGCCGATGGGCGGCGGGCCCCGGGGCCGGGCACGTTCTGGAGCCGTCCTCTGGACGTGCCAGTCCTTGGGGGCCGGCCTCTCCCTGGCTACCTCTTCTTCCCTCCCCCACCCTCAGCAGTGTGGCTGAGACCACAGACCGGGGGCCAGCGGGCTCTGCAGCAAACGTCTCCTGCAGCCCCTCCCCTCCTTCCCAGGCTATGGGCCGGGCATGCAACCGACCCCGGCTTCCTGCCCCCCACCCCAGCCCTCCGTGCTGCCCCTCCTCCCGGTGGCTGCCTGGCAAGGCCCTGGGATGCCCAGACACTGTGCCCAGGGGTAGTGGGCTGCCTCACAGCCCAGACCTTGGGGTGGCGGGGTCCTCCCACCGGGCTGGCCAGGCCTCTCCTAGACTCGCCGTGGAGCCAACCTGGGCCGGGCAAGGCCAGGCTGGCGTCTCTGAGTGAGTGGGGAAGGGAGGGGAAAAGCCAAAACTTTAAGGTATATGAACTGTGAAATTAAATTGAAATACTCAAGTAAGGAATCGCAGAACAGCATAAGCAAAGATGTTTACCAGGGCTTGAAGTTAAATACAGACATTTCATAAACCCAAACACAAAATGCAGTAAAGTTCTGCGGAATGTTAACTATAATTTACAGTGGAAAGAACGTTCCTGACTGCCGTAAACCTGCATGCATGGCGTCACCATCCGGTGCTGGGAAGCTGAGTTCCCCTGGCTGCACTGCTGGGCCTGGTGCAGGCGGGCTGGGCACCCACGGCCCGCCAAGGGGCTGCTGGGCCTGGGGACGCAAGGGGCGGTGGGTGCTCAGTGCAGGCACGGCCAGCGCTCCCCTCCCGGGTGGAAGGTGTCACCGGCAGGTCCAGAGATGACCGTGGTTGCCAGATTTGCCCTGCGCTTGGGCATTGCTGTAAAGCTCAGATCAGGCAGACCTCAGGGGAGGAAATCTCTCCAAACAGAGAAGCAGGCAGTGAGTGGCCACCCAGGTGCTGACTGGTTCCTGGTCCCACCTGGTCTTGGTCCTGAGGCCCCGCCCACCGATGGGGGCCAAGACACCCAGCTTCCTTTGTCTGCCCCCTCCTGCAGTCAAATTCCTTCACAGGAAGATAGTCATTTACACTGTAGTGAGAAAGAGCCCCTTTATTGTGCTCCCTCCCCAGTGCAGTTGTGTTCTCTCTGGCTGTGGAGTCTTTGTTGACCCTGGAAAGCCACTGGCATAGAAAGGCTTGAAAGGGGCAGGGCGCAGCCCAGAGCCACACACCTGCTTCCCGTTGCGTTCTGATTGGAACTCACCTTCCGGGCCTCTGGGGAGAGCAGCTGAGCGCAGTCAGAGTTCTTGGCTGGGCAAATGTATCGAGAGCAGCAGCCCCACAGACCAGAATCACAGCCCGCATTTCAAGTGTGTGTGTGTGTGTAGGTGAGGATGCCTGTGTGTGGCTGTTTGTGTGACGTATCTGAACAGGGCCCGAGTGTGTCCATGTGTCTGTGTGAATGTAAGTACCCCTGTGTGCCGCTCGGGGGTGGCAGGGCTCAGTGTGTGCCCGGGGTGGCCGTGGCCCCTGCACACCTGGACTGTGGGGTAGCCCTTGCCCAGGCAGGCAGCCCCGGAGGTTGTGGGCTGGAGGGGACACGCCCCCCGGCGCTCTGCACCCGGGGCTACTGAAGACGGACCGAGCGGCCTGGTACCACGCACTCCTGCAACCCCCTACCCCGGCCTGTCCAGGAGCCTGTGTGTGAGGGCTTCAAGCCACGTGGAATGCGGGGTGCAGGATCCCTACTCCCTGTGTTCAGCTCAGTGTGAAACGAGGCCCCCGCCCCTCCCCCCAGGCCGGCCTTGGCCAGGGATATTGGACACAAAAGCTGAGCCTGGAGAGGCCAGATGGGCTGCCTTCACCTGGATGGATGAGTGGGTAGGCCGGGATGGGGGGGAGGGTCCCCAGTTGCCAGGAGCATGCCCGGCTCATGGCCCGAGGCTGGGCTGTCCTCCCAGGCCCAGATCCACCTGGGTGCCCAGTGGGTGGGTTCAGAGGGGACGGCCGGTGTCCCCGTCCACAGGGGCCAGGCTGTGTGCTGCCCTCAGCGTCTCCTCCAGCCCCACCTCGGGGGAGGGGCACTGGCGGGCCCAGATCCCAGCCCAGGCTGCCCACCTCTGACCGGTGCCCCCTCCACTCCAAGCCCTCCCCCAGCGCACACAGGTAGGCATCCATAAGCCTGTTTACCAAGCGTGTATTGTGTGCCCACTGCCTACCAGGCTCCGAGCTGGGAGCTGGGACCCCAGCGCCAGATGTGGCCCTTGCCCTCTGGGGCCCCCATCTTGGGGGTGGGACAGGAGCGGCAGTCACGGCTGTGTGGCCAATCGATTTCTGGCCTCATCAGCCAGGCCCTGGGGAGGGGCTGGGCCCAAGATGGGCCACCTGGGTCCCCAGGCCTCGGGGGGTCCCTGGGGCAGCCCTGTCAGGGTCCTTGGTGTCCCGGCCCAGGGCAGCTGCCCCTAGGGGCATCCTGCCTCCTGCCGTCCCTCCCGGGCTGTGCCCTCTGCCCGCCCACATTTGCCTGGTCACCCTTCCATGTGCAGGAGGCCGGTGGCATTTCTCCATACTCCCAGCCTCCCTGATTTCTGTGCTGCCGCTACAGGGAGTATTTTCTTTAAAAACAGGATGGATGTGAGAAAAACAACAGTGCTCGAAAACCACACTTAATGGGGGGGTCGGGCTGGCTCGTTAGCGCCGAATAATCCACTGAGCTGCAACCTCACGGCTGGGAAACAAAAATAAACAACCCACCCGGGGCGCGCAGGGGCCGGGGCCTTCCGCGTTCAGCTCCCGGTGCCCGGGGGCGCGCAGGGGCCGGGGCCTTCCGCGTTCAGCCCCCGGTGCCCGGGGGCGCGCAGGGGCCGGGGCCTTCCGCGTTCAGCCCCCGGTGCCCGGGGGCGCGCAGGGGCCGGGGCCTTCCGCGTTCAGCCCCCAGTGCCTGGGTCCCGGGTCTCAGGACAGCGGCAGGAGGGCTCCCGGCCAGCAGGGGCGCGGGCACCTCCGTGGGGACTGCCTTCCTCTGCCACCCTTGCCGGGCACCTTCCCTGGGAAAGGTCACTTGGAGGTGGTGCTCCCGGCGGGAAGAGAAGGGGACAAACCTCCCAGCCCCTCCCAGGGACGAAACCTTTGTGGCCGCCGAAATCCTGCTCGGTAATTTAAGCTTGCTTCCCCCCGCTCCATCCTCAGTGAAGAAGAACAGCTGGCCTTGTCTCTTTTTCTAATAAATCCCATCCGACTGCACCGCCGGGGAGGGACCTGCCAGCTCAGCCGTCCGGCCCAAGGAGAAGGGCCAGATCTCCATCAGCCCTGGGCTCTGGAAATCGGACGGGGAGACCCAAGCGGCGACCCCTGCCCCGGGCAGCCCTCCACTCGCGCCGCCTTTGTATGAGCGGGTGGGGTGCGCCGTGCCGGCGGGAGGGCCGGGGTCTGGGGGGACGGCAGCCACTCATTTGTGCAGCCGAGTTCCAGGCGCATTGTGTACTGGGCCGAACTTTAGCTCACAATTTGGGATTAGAGCAAATCTGAGTATTTTTCTGCATGCCTGCCCGCTCCCGGGCACCCAGAGCCTGCTGGGTAACTGCCTATTATCCGCCGGTTCCACTCCAGTGCCCTCCCCAATAAAACTTTTCATATCCTTATAAACGAACTCGATTGCCGTGTTATAAACATTTACACTGTGCTAACAGATCATCTCCGCACATCAGAATTGGCTAAATTCCCTTTTCCAGATGAATATATTGAAGGAGATTAGAGATATGATAGCTTTTCAGATTGCTGAACCCGGAGAAATTAGCTTAGTGAGCGTTTACAGGGGCTAAATTGGAACCATTAAATACTGGATTAAATTGATGGCCCTTTCATTGTCTGTCCTTCGGTACTGCTGTAAAATCAATTAGCCGTCACCAGCCCATTCTCCATACAGGGACATTGCCGTCCTCCCTGGAAGCTGATGCAAAACCTCCCAGCGGTGGCGAGGGATGTGAAAACACACCTATTAGGTGGGACCCGGGCTGCCCTGGCCTCGCTGCACCCCCAGCCTCTGCCGGCTGCGCATCGAGGGTCTGCTGGCAGCTCCCCCCTCCCCGGAGGCGACGGGGACAGGTGAGGGGGGTGCCTGTGGGCATGGCTGGGCCCCGTCAGAGAGGCCGAAGATGGCGCGTGTCTGCAGGGAAGCAGCGGTCTCGGAGGGTGCTCAGGGGCTGCCTGGAGGGTAGCTTCCAGGTCGTGGCCGTCACGAGCCTGTGCTGGGAGCTTACCGAGCAACGGCCACGGATGAGTGGGGATCCCACTGAACCCTCCCCACGGCCCTGGGGGGCAGGCGCTCTTCTTGTACCCATTTCACGGAGGAGGAAACTGAGGCGCAGCTGGTCTGGCAGCCGGGCCAATGTCCACAGCTGGCCCCAGGCGAGCACTGCAGCCTTGAGCCGCTGTCCTGGACAAGAACCCTCGGGCCATGCCCAGGTCTGGAAGGAGCGTGGGGCCTACCTCACCCTCCAAAGGTCAGGACTGAGTGACCCTCGGGGCAGAGAAGCAAGTCTGGGGATGAGTGGATGGTCCAAGCGAGCTCAGGAGGATGGGCCAAGGCGAGGGGCTCCCTGGAGAATGGGGTGGGAGAAGGGAACACCCTTCTTGGGCCAGCACCCTCATCGTCCCTGCAGAATCCAAATGATCAGCACAGGACCCTGGGTTGTACTGATGGGGAAACTAAGGCCCAGAGGCGGTGGGTCCGAGTCACACAGCAGGTGGCAGCCGGGTGGACAGTCAGCCTGTTCAGTAAACCTGGTTGTGGTCAGTCCGATTTGACTCAACCAGCGCTGGGGGCCTGAAGGAACTTCTCCCAGACACACTCTGGACACTTTGTTGGGTTTTTTTTGGCCATGCTGCACAGCTTGCGGGATCTCAGCTCCCTGACCAGGGATTGAACCTGGGCCACGGCAGTGAAAGCCTGGCACCCTAACCACTAGGCCAGCAGGGAACTCCTCGGACACACATTTTAGATGCAGGAAGACAGGGTCGTGCATGGGAGATGGTGGGCAGAGGGCACTCGGGGTCTGGACTGGGGGTTGGGGCAGTGGGGCCGGAGACTGGGTGGCGCGCGGGATCTGGTGACGGCCTTTGCCCTGCGGTGTTTTCTGCCGGGAGCCCTCGTGCCCACTCCTGAGCTCAGCTCAGAAGTCACCTGCTCTGGGAAGGCTCCTCTGATCCTGCCGCCCCCTCCATCAGGCCAGGAACCCCCTACCCCTGCTCCCACGGGCTGTTGGGCTTCCGCATGTCATGGCGGTCATGACACTAGGTAGGAAATGCTGGCCTGCGAGGAGCCCGCCTCCCCATCTGCTCCAGGGCCCGTGGGTCCAGCCCGTCTTTGAAGAGTTGGGGGGGGAATGGGTCCAGGTGTGCCGATGGCCCGGCCACCAGGCAGGTCAGTGAGAACGTGAACAGGATGCAGCAGCCGGGGAGCCCCGGGCCTTCCTTGGCCCAAGTGCAGGGGAGGGGAGGCCTGCCATGGGAGCTGACTGGCGGCAGAACGGCCGCCCTCCCAGTGGCCGGAACACGCACGGGGGCTCGTGGCTGTGAGGAGGTGGCTCTGTCCCTTCTCAGGCAAGAGCCTTTCCTCAAACATTCTGGCGGCACTCACAGTCCGCAGAGCACTTCCCTCCCGTGAGCCTGGGACGGCCATCGGCCCCATCCCAGACAGGAAGCAGGAGAGACTGGGGTAGGCAAGCTCGCCCGGCCCGGCAGAGGGGAGCTGGGCTCCACTGAGGGACCCCGTGCCCCCGGCCCACTCGGCCTGAGCTGAGCCCTGGGGCGCACAGCCATCAGGACCCCACCCAGCGGCTCGGTGCTCCGTAGCACTTCCCCGCTCCGCTCTGGCCCCGCAGGACGGAGGAGGCTGGTGGACCAGCCCTTCTGTGCAACTTTTCAGAGACCAGCCTGCAGCCAAGATGTGGACGATCCTGTGGATGGGCTGAGCCCCTCCAGGCTGGGCCGGGCCTTCGGCCGAGGTCTGTGTGTATGTGTGGAGGCCATGAGGACCCAGACGGAAGGTGGAATGGAGTGGGCCTGTGGGGGCCTGGGAAGGACCTGCCCAGATGTCCACTCCTGGCCGAGGGGCCCTTAGCCGTCTCCTTCGGAGGGTGATGGGGACGAGCTGCTGGGCGGGGTGCTGAGCGGCCCGTCCTGGGAAGAGTGCAAGGCCCGCTGTGGGGGGAGGGCAGCGGGAAGAGCTGGGCCCGGAGCCTGGAGGTGTGAGGTGCCCTCCCTGGGGATGGGGTGCCCGGTGGCCCCGCACACAGTGCTGGGCACACACTGGCAGAGCCTCAGGGCTTGGGGCCCCCAGACCCCTGCCCGGGTCCCCGCAGCATCCCAGCACCACTCTGTCCTCACCGTCCTGACGGCTGACCTCCGGCTGCTCTGAGAACTGGCCGCCCCCAGGCTGGTTGAGAGGCCCCTGTTCCAGCAGATTAGCCCCCCCGCTAAGAAAAACACACGGCGGGTTTCATCTGAGCCCAGCAGGTGGGCGGGAGGGCTCACAACAGAGAAGCCCAGACGGGCGGGAGGGGCTGCAGGGAGCACCACACAGGTCAGGTGACGCCTGGGCAGGAGATGAGGGGTCTGCAGCCCGGGGGGAAGTCCGGGTCAGAGACCCCCGTGCAGGGCAGAAACTTTGCACCCAGTGAGGACTGTGGGTGGGGCCAGTCTGGGATGGGTCCCCTGGGGTCTGCCCAACACCTTGGCTAACTCCCGGGTCTCCCTGCTACCCAGAGGCCCTGAAAGGACTCTTCATCCCATCTTACAGATGAGGAAACTGAGGCTGGGGAAGGGAGGGGGGCCCCTCTGGGACTGGGACCCCAGGCAGCCTGCACTTGCTCATCAGAACTGCAGACCCCTGGGCCACACCCTCATTTTTCACATGGGGGAACCGTGGCCCAGAGGGACAGGAGCCCGCCAAGGTCACACAGGATGCCGGCCTCCTGTCCCGGCCTGGGCCCCTCTGCTGGGGCGTGCCGCCCCTCCCCACACCAAGCCCATACCCCGGGCCAGGAGGCAGCCCTCGGGGCTGGGCGGAGGCTGGGTGGATAAGGTTTCTGGCAGCTGGCGGGGGTGGGCACGGTGGGTCTGGTGCGGGGGGTGGGCCACAGAGGCAGGTGAGAACGGCGGCCACGGGAAGTTCTCACGGACAAATGGGGTGAACCGGCCGCCCCCGCTAGCCCCTGACAACTGATGTTAAAGTAGAGGGCAGTCTGGGCACACATGGCCCTGCACAGGAAGGGGCTGGAGACCCCCCTGCTCGCTGGCTCTGTGCTCGGCGCTCCCGGCTCTGTGCACGCTGGGTGGTGGGCCACGTCTCTGGGCCCCCCACCCTGAGCTTCCAGGCCGGGATTCTGGGGGTCCCTCCATTCACCCCCCAGGGGACACTCCAGGGATTGGCCGGCTGCCTGGGAGGAGGACCCAGAGCGGCTGTGTGGACTCTGCCACTGAGTCACTGGTAAGTGCCTCTGCCCCCTGGGCCTCAGTTTCTCCCCCTGGACGGCCGGGGCCCCTCCCCCTCCCCTCCCCCTCCCCTCCCCTCCCCTGCCCTCCCCCCGCCCATCCCGGGGGCTGCCCGGAGGAGAGTGAGCCAGGGCCCCGCCGGCAAAGATGAGACCACAAGGTGTGTTATGGTTGTCACGCTTGTCACAAGCAGAGTTTCACGCTCGGCCCCTGGGGACCATGAGGGCCTGTGGGGCAGGGGCCTCTCATCACCTGGGCCGCCGGCTCTCCGTTCGGGACAGTCTTCATCTGGCCGTGATGAATGGCTGCAGCTCCGCTTGGAAGGCCTGGGAGAGGAGCCAGAGAAGCTGGGCAGAGGCTCTAAAACGTGGAGGTGAAGGGGGCGCGGCGCCGGGAGGGCCACTGGTCCGTCTGTCCAGGCCGCTGTCCTCCGCCCTAGAACGAGAGCAGGAGGGGCTGGAGCACGGGGTGGGGGCGTTTCTAAGCACACTGTCTGGAACGTTTGGACGCATGGGAGGGAATGCAGGCTGGGCCACCATGGACGGGCACCCGCGCGTGCCCTGAGGCTCCGGGCAGCCCCTGAGATGCGGCCGAGTCTGGGTGCAGCAGGGCTGTGGAGGCGAGACCAGAGGTCCATCCGTGCCCCTTCCTCCCCCTTCCAGTTAGCGGACACGAGCCAGGACGGAGCGGCCTGCCCACCAGGGACGCACGCCCGGCCGTGTCGCGGGAGCTGCGCTGCCCACCTGCTCGGGGGGACCAGGCAGTGTGGGGTGGAGCGCCTGCCCCACGGCCGCCGTCCACTGTACTCTGCCGCTCTGGGTCCTGCGTCGCCATCGTGGGGCACGTCCTCGGGGTTAAAGCCGCTTGGCTGTCTGGCTTTGGGGAGAAGGAAGCAGGTTGGCGTCGAGATGTCCTCGAAAACGGGTGGTGTAAGAGTCAGCGATGGACGCGAAAGTTAGTGGGCAAAAGGGAGATGAGACACAGGAACCCACACTCTTCCATGTACCTCCCCGGAGAGACACTTATTAAACTTTCTGGACTTTCTTGTGTGTGGGGGTAAATATGCATAACATTTGCCATCTTAACCCCTTTGCAGTGTCCAGTGCGGGGCATTAAGAACGTTCACACTGTTGTGCAGCGTCACCACCAGAATATTTTCATCGTCCCGAACTGAGACTCTGTCCCATTAAACACTCACTGCCCTTCCCCTCCCCCAGCCCTGGGCCCCCACCTCCTACTTTCTGTCTCTGTGACCCTGACTACCCCAGGGTCCTCACGTGAGTCGAATCGCAGTGTCTGTCCTTCTGTGTCTGGCTTATTTCACTGAGCAGCAAGTCCTCAAAGTGCAGCCACATTGGAGCAGGTGTCAATACTTCATTCCTTTCTGGGCCTGAATCTACTGATTAATTACAAAGAGAAAACTAGAACTTCACATGGGAGAAAGCCGATAGGCACCAGCAGGTGATCAAGCTGGCATCACCCGGGACGGGACAAACATCCCAGGCTCCCCTGACCTGAGGCCCCGGGGAGACACGGCATCACTTTGGGGATGTTCCTGCCCTGAACACACAGCCCGAACGGGCCCAGTCATGAGGAGACCCCACAAAGCCACACGGAGGAGCGTCTGACAAAGCAGCTGGCCGGCACTCTTGACAAATGTCAGTGTCGCAAAAAAGACTGAGGCGCTGTCCCAGAATGACCGTGACGACGGTGACGTGACAGCTACGTGCAACGCAAGGTCGTGGGACAGGACATGGGCGTCAGCAGGACGACTGGTGACCCTTGGAAAAGGCTTGTATCAGGAACCGCATCTATACCCAGGACCCTGGCGGGAATCAACTGTTAGATAGTCAGGAATTTTGCAAACCAGCTGTAAGTTATGCAGGTTGGCCGCGGTGGGAGCATTTATACCACAGAGAGAGGCTAGCGGCGCAAAGCAGGACTTTTGGGGGGAGGGGGGACCTTACAAGCACACCACCGGTTCTGTAAGATGTGACATTAGGGGAAGCTGGGTGAGGATAACTGGAATCTTGTCCACAATTTTGCAGCATTTTTGCAAGTCCGAAATTACTTCAAAATAAAAAGTTTTCAAAAGTTCTAAAATCAGACTCAGCTCCTGGCAAACCAATCCCCTTCCTGTGTCCTTCAGAGGCACCAGTCGCCACCCAAGCCTGACACGCTCTTTCCTCATCCCCTGGGTGACCACACCCTCCTGGCCGCCTTCTTCTCCTCAGTCCCTTTCAGTCTTTTAAAAGAGGCTCTAATTTCTTTCTTTCATTCATCTATTCATCCCTCCACCCACCTATCCATGCACCCATCCGTCATCCATCTATCCATCCATGATCCACCCATCCACCTATACGTCCTCCCCTCTATCCCTCCATCCAACCATTTACTGTTTTTCTTTTTGATAAATTTATTAATGTATTTATTTTTGGCTGCGTTGGGTCTTCGTTGCTACGCACGGGCTTTCTCTAGTTGTGGCGAGCAGGGGCTACTCTTGGTTGTGGTACAGGGGCTTCTCATTTCGGTGGCTTCTCTTGTTGCAGAGCGTGGGCTCTAGGCACGTAGGCTTCAGTAGTTGAGGCACGTGGGCTCAGTAGTTGTGGCTCACGGGCTCTAGAGCACAGGCTCAGCAGTTGTGGCACACAGGCTTAGCTACTCTGTGGCATGTGGGATCTTCCCGGACCAGGGCTCGAACCCGTGTCCCCTGCATTGGCAGGCAGATTCTTAACCACTGCGCCACCAGGGAAGCCCCACCATTTACTATTTTTAGAGCAACTTAAATGCAGGGCACTGCTCTCGTTTATTTTTCAGTACTGAGCAAAAGAGACAAAGCCCCTGACCTCATGGAGTTCATACACCAAAGGCGAGAAGAGCAAGCCAACAGGAAAAGAACTCCGTGAATTAAACACGAAGGAAGGGATGAGGTATCACGGGGGACGGGGGGTGGGAGGTATAAAGCTGGGAGCTGTGGGTGCACAGACACTCTGCCCCCTCCCAGCACATCCCGGGGGCCGTGATCTTACCCCCCTCCCCAGCTCCACCATGAGCTCCAAGCCTGCAACCGTCTCACCATTTGATCCAGGCACACAGAAAGAGTCCAAGTGAGTTGGATGGTGTTTGATGGGGCCCCATGTGGGGTTGGACTCCAGCGTCCGACCCAGACAAGCCCTTGAAGCCGGGAATCCCCAGTTCATGGAGGCGCAGGGAGACAGGGACCCCTGGCCACCGGTGCTGGAAGCCGGGCCGGCCCTGGAAAGACCTTTGGCAACATGGGCTCAGCACCGTGGAAACGCTCGACATCTTTGACCAGTAATGCCACGTGTGGGAGGCTCTTCCAAGGAAATTACCCCAAATATGGGGAGAGCGTTAGGCCCAAAGATATTCACTGTAACGTTATTTTTAACGACCAAAAAAAAAAAAAAAATTGGAAGCAGCTGAAATGTCCAACCATCAGGGAGTAGTTTAGTAAATTATAGTCCACAGACTCGATGGAATACTAGGCAGTCATTAAAAGTGATCATTACAAAGGCTGAGCAGTGAAATGCAGACGCGTCTGCAGTGTAACGCGGAAGGGAGAGCAGCGGGTAGAACTGTGTGTGCATTAGGGGTGTAACATGTAAGAAGCACGTGCAGCAGGAAAAAGCCTGGGGGGGACAGAGCGGCAGAGGACCGTGTGGTGAGCTGCGGAGGCGGAGAGCAGCTGCTCTTTTCCGTTTTCTGACTTTTCTATGAAGTATGACAGCTTTAGTAATTTAAGATACAGGCACACCTCACTTTACCGCGCTTCACAGATACTGCATCTTCCACAAACTGAAGGTCTGTGGGGACCCGAGTCTATCGGCACCATTTTCCCAAGAGCGTCTGCTCGCTTCGTGTCTCTGTGTCACATTCTGGTAATTCTTGAAATATTTCAAACCCTCCACCAGCCAAAAGATTACAGCTCATTAAAGGCTCAGATGATGGTTATAGCATTTTTTAGTGATAATGTATTTTTCTTTAAGGTAGGTCCGTTGTTTTTTAGACATAAGGTTATTGCATCCTTAATAGGCGACAGTGTAGGGCAAACACAGCTTTTACCTGCACTGGGAAACCGAGAAGTTGGTGTGAGTGGCTTTACCGCGATACTCTCTTCTTTGCCGTGGTCTGGAGCCAAACCCGTGACGTCTCCGACGTGTGCCTGTACTTAATAAACAGAGTTATTGCAGGATGTCAGGATTGTGGTAAGTTTTGTTTTCTCTTTGTGCTTTTCTGGATTTTCAAAATGTTCTCCTGGGCTTCCCTGGTGGCGCAGTGGTTGAGAGTCCGCCTGCCGATGCAGGGGACGCGGGTTCGTGCCCCGGTCCGGGAGGATCCCACATGCCGCGGAGCGGCTGCGCCCGTGAGCCATGGCCGCTGAGCCTGCGCGTCCGGAGCCTGTGCTCCGCAACGGGAGAGGCCATGACAGTGGGAGGCCCGCGTACCACAAAAAAAAAAAAAAAGTTCTCCTATGAAGAGGCTCGCTCTGGTCCTGTGACGGGAGGAGGTTGGGGAGGGCGGAGTGGGGGTGCCACCCCTTGTGGGATCATTGGCACAGGGACACCCTTCCTGCCCTCAGAAGGGCCATCCGGGTGGAGGACCAGGTGTGCCCACAGGGTCCTGAGGGGGGACTGGCCTCTCGGCGGGCATCACAGGCTACCCTGAAGGAAGCGCTGGGTGCCCTGGGGACGGGGGGACGCAGGGCACTGTGCTGTTATGGAGGGATGTCTACAAGGAGAACAGGGTGGTCAGAGGCCTGCGAGGTGCACTCTGGGGAAGAGGGGAATCAACCGGAGGTCGTTCTGCACGCACTCTGCCCAGCCGTCACCTGCACCAACTCATTCATGTCTCAGAAACGGTCGTGAAGAACAAGCCTGTTTGTCAGAGGAGGAACTGGAGGCTTGAAGGCCTCAAGTAACCTGCCCAGAGTCATGAAGCTGGTAAGTGGGTGAGCGCCCCAGAAATGGCTCTCCTAGGATTGTGCAGTGTACAACTTACACCACTGTCCAGGGCCTGCATCAGGGTTCAGACCCAGGTCAACCCGAGTTCAGAGTCTGGGCTTTCCCACCTGGCCCCAGGCCCTGTGCCAGAAACACAACAATAAGAAGTTGTCCTACAGGCCTCAGGGAGCTCAGAAAGCAGGGAGAGAGGACGACACGGGAAAGAAACCGTAAAGGTGATGGAGACGATGATGGCGCTGCCGGTGATAAAGGCACTGATGGTCCTGGCGATGAAGGTGATGGTGCCGGCAGTGGCCATCATTCGTTCAGTGCTCTTCATGTACCAGGCACTGTGCTAAGTCTTTCAGATAAAGTATTTGGGAGGTCGGTACTAGCCTGCCTATTTGGTCTTTCAGCCCGTGAAGGGAAGGGCTGATATTTTCACCTAAGTCCACGTGATTCCTGGGTCTGGGCTGGACAAAGGCCCGAAGGAGGCTGGGTGTAAGGGGCTAGGACTGAGGTCTATGCAGAGGGAGTCTAGCCCCTCCCCCTCCAGCAGAGGGAGGGGAAACATGATGGGCAGAGCTGATCCACATTGTTGTGGGGGGGGCCCGGATACGGCCCCTGTCTGGCGGGTTGATGCCAGGCCAGCAGTGAGGGGACCAACAGCCCTGGGGTGCAGATGCCTGGGGCTGAGCGGGGGGGCGTCAACCTGCTCGCGTTCCTGTTCTGCAGATGGAGGTTGAGCACTGCGGAGGGGCAGGCGTATCCGCCATGGTTTTTATTTTCTGTATTTTACGACGCTTTGATGTCTCAGGGGCCCTGCTGGCCAGGAAGAAAGTGCCCCTTGCCCCAGGGTTAGCCGGTCTGAGAGGTAACAGATACTCCCGTGAGCGCGCCTATCGTATGGAACCAGCCAACACAGAGCCCACCCCTCCTCTCTCAGGCTCCCACGCTCCCAGGGCAATATTTCCCTGCCCTCAGTCACCCAGGGCCAGGAAGCAGACAGCTGGAGACCCCCCATAGCCCAGAGCCTGCCCCAGTTCTTCAATCCATCCAACCATAAGCCAGTGCACAGCTGACCCCGCCTCACCCTTTCCATCCCCTGAAAACTGCAATAAAGGCTCTGGGCCCTGCCGCCCCCAGGTTCCTTCTGCCTCTGGACTGACCCGCTGCGGCCCCGTGTGGCCCTGCATGGCCTGCCCCCCCCCCCCGGGGAACTGTGAGTGATGAACTCTTCTTTCAAGGCAGTGGTCTCCACGTCTGTCACCTTACATACCTGATTAGAATACATCAGGGGTGCAAACCTCAACATGGCAGGGGGGGCCTTGGGCCGCGTGGCAGATGCAAGTTCAGACACAGGCTGTCTGGCTGGCCCGTCACGGAGCTGCTGAGGTGGGGTGAGCAGGGGTGAGCAGGGGCCACGGTTGTCCTGTGTGCTGGGTGGCCATGGGGCAGTGGGAGGGGACGCGCCTTCTGAATTCTGCTCATCGCCCGCTGCTGGGTGACTGGGGCGGGTCTCCACCTCTCTGTGGGTCTCCTCTGTGGACTGGAGACCTGGGCCTGGGAGCTGCCGGCCGGCCGGGAGGGTGCCGTCCGAGCCAGGCTGCAGGGGGCCGCTGAGCTGAGGGCCAGGTGGGCATGGGGCCGTCACCCCCCAGTAGAGCCACCACCCTGCCCAGGACCCACTTGGCAGCCCCTGTAGGCGGCAGAGGGCAGGCAGGGCCAAAGCCGGGCTGGGGTGTAGGGGGAGGGCGGTAGACGGCGGGGCCCCCGGCCGCCTCACCCCTGTGCCTGCTGGCTGGCATCTGGCCCCGGCCCAGCTCCCCTTCCTCCGGGCCCGGTGCTCTCCGTCCACTGGGCCGCCTCCCCAGGGGTGCCAGGCCCTGAGTGCACGGCCACGGCCAGCCTGGCCGGCCCGTCATTGAAGCCTCCCTCCCGTAATTGGCAATTTTGTCATATTTATTCACAACAGATCGGATTGCCAGGAGCTTGCTGGAGCTCTCCGGAGGCCCGCCGTGAAATCGGTTTGAAATGGTGTGTCAGGTTTTTCTCTCCCTGCTGAAGCGACCATCTGGCTGCCGGGCCGGGGCTGGGCTGATACACTGACCCGGGGAATCGCGGCTAAGCCGCTCCCGGGGGCCCACACGCCCGCGCGCCGCTCTGGCCTCCCCCATGGGCTCGGCTGCAGGGGGAGACCTGGGCAGGGCGGGGGGCAGGAGGCGAGAGCCCCCGGGCACCACGCTGGCCATCCAGGCACTGCCAGGTTGGCACCTCTCCCACAGCCCTACCCCGGGTGGCCCGGATCTCAGCGGCTGAGCAGAATTAAAGGGTGAGTTTTTTTTTTTTAATTATTTTAAAAACGTATTTATTTTTGGCTGCGTTGGGTCTTTGTTGCTACGCACAGGCTTTCTCTAGTTGCGGCAAGCGGGGGCTACTCTTCATTGTGGTGCGCAGGCTTCTCACTGCGGTGGCTTCTCTTGTTGCGGAGCACGGGCTCTAGGCGCGCGGGCTCGGTAATTGTGGCTCGCAGGCTCAGTAGTTGTGGCTCACGGGCTTAGCTGCTCTGCAGCATGTGGGATCTTCCCAAACCAGGGCTCCAACCTGTGTCCCCTGTACTGGCAGGCGGATTCTCAACCACTGCGCCACCAGGGCAGCCCCAAGGGTGAGTTCTCGATCGTGTGGCAGTTCTGTCTGGGTCGATGGGGGCTCCGGTCCTGGCGGTCCTCAGGCCCCTCCCACCACAGCGCGTGGCCCTGTGAGCGCCTGGTGTCGCTCAGCTGGGGGGCGGGGGCAGCTCCCAGGAAGGCCCCAAGCTGGACGTGATCGGGTGGCCCCACTGATGCCAGGAGGGCTGCCAAGTCATATCCAGGGGAAGAAATGGGCTGGGAGCCCGTGAAGCAGACCCTCAATAAAGCAGGAGCACCAAAACCTTTTTTCTAAGAAATATTTTATTTCAAAAATCAAATGGGGCCGCGTCACACCTATTAGGATGAAGTATATATTTTTTAATATAATAATATTATATATATTTCTACAGAAAATAGCAAACACTGGCAAGGATGTGGAGAAATTGGAATGCTTGCACCCTGTTGGTGGGAGTGCAAATTGGTACCACCATGGTAGAAAACAGTACAGAGCTTCCCCCCAAAATGAAAAACAGAACTGCCGTATGATCCAGCAATCCCACTTCTGGGTCTGCACCCAAAAGCATCGGAAGCAGGACACAAAGAGATACGTGTACCCCCACGTTCACAGCAGCCCAAAGGGTGGAAGCCACCCAAGTGTCCATCGACGGATGACGGATGAACACAGCGTGGTCCATCCACACGATGGAATATCACGCAGCCTTCGAAAGGGAGGAAACTCTGACCCCTGCTACAATGTGGAGGGACCTTGAGGACGTGATGCTCAGTGAAATAGGCCAGACACAGAAGGACAGATACTGGGAGTCCACTCCTATGGGGTCCCTGGAGGAGCTGGGGTCACAGAGACAGAAAGTAGGGGGTGGGGCGAGGGGCTGGGGGAGGGGCAGGAGCATCCGTGCGGAACGGAGACAGTCTCAGTTTGGGAAAATGGAAAGTTCTGGAGACGGACGATGGTGACGGCTGTCCAGCGTGACCACACTGTGTATGTACCTGATGCCCCTGAACTGGACATGAAAATGGTTAAGAGGATAAATGCTATGTTCTGCTCATTTTCCACAATAAGAAAATCAGACGGCGCCGCCACCTACGGGGAGCCTGGCGTGTCCCGTGTGGCTTCTGGGCAGAGGGTGGGCCCGGCGCCCCTTTGGGCGCTGGTCCTGGGCTCTAGCTGCCCTGTTCCTCTTCAGGGGAATGGGGAGGGGATGGGCTGCCCACGGCCACGCCGGGGCCCAGCAAAGACAGAAACCCAGAGCTCAGGAGGTTGTGGGAACGACGGGGGGAGGTGTAGTTGGCCCTCCCGTCCCGTGTGTGTCTGTCTGTTGTCCCTTGGAGGAGCCGGGCGAGGGGGCGGGTCCGGGCGCCCCAGCCTGCCACCATGGCCACCTGCTGGGTCTGCAGGAGTGACACTGGCTGCACAGAGGCTGGGCTGGGGTCTGTGTTGGGCTCCCCACAGTGGGGGCATGGCTCCTCCCCTGGGAGGCTGGCCCGGGCCCCTCCAGCCCACACCTGCCCCGCCGTCCTCTCCCACCTGGGCCAGAGCGGGGTCCAGGCCGGACTGCTGCCAGGCCTCTCCCTGAGGCCTCCCTGCCCCTCATCCAGCCCCCACCCTCCCTGGGTTCCACCCACACCTGGGTTCTGGTCTCAGCATCTCTGCTCACTGGCCGGTGACACTGGGCAGCTAAAGGCCCCGTCCAGCCCTCAGTTCTTCCCTCTGTAAAAGGGGGTGGAGGGCGTTGCCCTTCCCTCCCACCCCTTCTGCATCAAGCTGGATGTCTGCTCTGAAGCCTCCAGGATGGACGGGGGCCCTGGGCACCCAGATCCAGGCTGTGGACAGCAGGGGGCGGCTGAGAGGCCCAGAGGGGCCGGCAGACTCGTCGAAGGTGCCCAGGGGGTTGGGGTCCTGCCTTCCAGCATCCTGGGCACCCCACGCCTCCCCCACCCGCTCCTGCCAGCAGCGTGCCCCCACCCCGTCGTCACTGTAGGCAAGGCTCTTACCCCGGCTGAGCCCAGATGTGCACCCTGGCCTCACTGAGGGGAGCTGGGCAGCCAAGGAGAGTCTCCGAGCCTCGGTCTCTGTGTCTGTAAATCGGGGACGTGGTCCAGTCTTGTCTGCCAGGGCCGACCTGCGGGCTGGGAGGCTGCCTACCGCTGGGCGCGAGCCTCAGGGGGCCTCCGCTGTCGCCTCAGCCCCATGGTGGGGGGAACATCGATCCTCGAGGTGGGGGGCCGTCCATGCAGGCGGGCGGCGCATCCCGCATCGACCCGCCGTACCGTGTGCTGGCCCCCCCTGTGCTGTGCTAACAAGCCCATCTCATGGCGCCTCGGGCCCTAATTGGCAAGACGGGCACGTGCGTGTCTGTCTGGGAGACCGGCGCCTGCGCCCGCCCCAGCTCGAGGCGGACAGCGGTGCTGGGACCCTGTGCCGGCGTCCTGCCCCTATGGGCTGCCAGCCGAGGCCGCCTGGTTTCTAGAGGCAACACCCAGAGGAAGGTCGTCAGCAGGGATGTCAGCGGGGAGAAGGGGCTTGTTAGCGGGACCCCCGAGAGGTGCTGGGCCCACCCCACAAGCCCAGAGGCAGCCTGGAGCCGTCCCACAGTGCGGACAGGGAGGGAGGGAGAGGCAGGCACGTGGTGAGGGGACTCGGGACCCTGGCCCTGGAGGGTAAAGGAGGAGAGGGGTTACTTGGTACAAGGAAGGAAGATGGGGGCAGTCTGAGAACAGAATTGGGGTAAAACCTGTAGGTGCAAGAAAATGGCCACTTACCTTGTCGACTTTGGTGTCCTGCCCAGATGGCAATGGTCCCGCCTGCTGCCCCCGGGAGCTGCCGTGGACCTGGGCACGCGAGGGATGGCCCGGAAGGTAGTGATCCTCCCGTCAGTGGGCGCGTGAAAGCTAGAGGCCTGAGAGGACGCCAGCTCTGCATGAGGCAGGAGGGCTCTCAGAGTGGACGCGATGGACCTCAGAAATGTCCCCTCGGGGTCTGCTCAGCTGAGCACAGTGCCACGGTGGGGGCAGGGAACCGTGTCCTCGTCCCCAGAGACCCTCTCTAGTGGGATGACCTGAAGCTGGAGGACCCGGCTGGGCGGCTCACTCTGCAGCAGACTCATCACCTGCTCAGCCAGGGCGTCGCCTCATCCCAATGCCCCCAACACCCCAGAATCCAGCCGCCCCTCCCGTCGGGCAGCCGCCACCCCAGTGAACACAGGTGGGGGCATTGATGCCCCGAGGACGGCAGGACGGACTCTCCAAGGCCTCCGGCACAGCTGCTGCTGGCCGGTCCCCACTGTTCCTACCCCGGGAGGCCCCAGATGCCTGCCTCACAGCCCACAGCCTGCCTGGGCCCAGGGTCCTCCGCACTCCTCTCTCTGGGTGACCTGGGACCTCCACCTAGAGGGAGGAGGGGCCAGCCACTCGCTGAGGCCTGATTGGGCTCCAGGCAGGCCCCGCCCCCGATGCTCTGGCGGCACCAGTCAAAGAGCCCATTGTCCATGGCTCTGCCTGCAGAGAAGTCACGTTGGCAGGTGAGGCCGGCCGTGATGGGAACGCTCCCACCACGGAGACCCCCGAACACGCCCGTCTTATTTTGCTTCCAACAGACGTGTCCGGTGGTTCCTCTGCTCCCATGTTCTGGGTGAGGCCAGAGGGGAGCAGGGTGCCTGGTCCCCCTCCTGGGTGTGGGGGACCCAGGAAGGTGGTGGCAGAGCCTTGCTGCTGTCACCGGGGCACCCGGGCGGCCGCCAGCCCAGACAGGTGTGCCGCTGCCCCGCCCCCTCGGCCGCAGCCCATCCGTCAGCCCGCTAATCTTTCAGCATCCGCCGGCCTCTCGTGGGGTGTGATGGATGGGCTCCCGGCCTCGCCGACTGCTGCGAAATCACTCAGCGCCAGACAAGCCCTAAATCTGACGCACGGAGTGTTGAAAGGAGGAATGTCTGTTTTCATAACCTACCTCAGTTACAATAAATATTTAAAATGCACATTAACATCCTCTCGCCGTACAATCGGCCTCTGTGGCCCCGGCTGCGGGATTTAATTAGCTCCGGGCTTGCCCCGCCGGACGCGCTCGCCCGTGGACGGAAGGCCCCTGTTTTCTTAAACTCCTGGCCACTGCTGGGCTGACACAGAGCCTTTGTCTGGCCTGGCGTCCCCTGCTGGCCCCCAGCGCTGGGCTGGATGGGTCCCCGGGCCATGGGTGCCCATGGATGGGGGGGCGCGTCCCAGGGCGTCCTGGCTGCCCGGCCAGTGAACAGCCCTGACCAGGGCCCCCAGATGCTCGCTACCGGGTCCCAGAGGGGCAGGAAGACGACAACCCAGAAATGAAGGTAGAGCCTCAGCCCTCGTCCTGGATAGCTGTCCCAGGAGCCGTGCCCACCCCAGCGGATGGCCCGGCGCCAGGCTCACTTGCCTCCCTTCCGCCTTGGACCTCGGCTCCCGGGATGGCAGGACCCCCGTCCTCAGCAGGGGCCACATGGGCACCAAGCCCTGCTAAGGCCCTTGGGGATCATGTCCCCGACTTGCACGGACCCCTTGAGGTGGGGACGACGTCGCCCATTGTAGAGATGAGGAAACTGAACTCAACGTAGAGAAGTGACTCCCGGGTCACCTGGATTTGTCGGAGCTCCAGCTCTCGGAGGAGCCCCGCCTGCTGGCCTGCCGGCCTCAGCCACCCCTTCACTCACCCACGTGCTCCTTTCGCACCAGCGTGCGTCTTCCTCCCTCTCTCCCTCCCATGGGCAGAATGGAGACGCGAAGGGGGTTGAGGGATCAGGGTGGCATGGAGGAAAGCCCGGCATTCTTCCTGGAGGCAGTGGCTGCAGTGAGTCCCTGCTCGACCAGCCCTCTGTCCCGTGGCTCCCCAGGAGGCCTCGCCACCACCCAAGCCTCGTTCAGCCTCCGGGACGCGCAGGAGAGAATCTATTTCTGTTGCTTCCAGTCACCCCGCTTGTGGGGCTTTGTTCAAGCCGTCAGGCTCCCGGCTGTTGGTCCCAGTCCTGCCTCTTCTCTCTCCTCCCCCGTTCGCCCCGCGGCATCCTGGGGTTGTGGAGTCCGAGCTCTCCTGGGGATGGCCGGCACCTCTGGCTGGGCCTGGGGCTCAGCCCAGCCTCCCGGGCCTTTCAGCCTCGGGATTGTAAACCAGGGAGAGGAGGCTGGGGGATGGGGAACGTGCGTCCCCACCCAGAGCCCCAGGCTGCGCCCCCACTGCCTGGCTTTTCCGGATGACGCTGGGATTCAGGTAGGGACAACGGCCCGAGGATGTGAGGCTGGAGCGCGGGCCCAGAGAGGCTCCCCAGCTGGCCGGCGGTAGGTGCTGCCCCCAGTCCAGGGCCCGAGGGCCTGCCCGGCACTTAGGGGGCCGCCCCCTGCTCCCGAACCCTCCCTCTGCCTGTCCCAACGGATGAAATCACACCCTCCACCCCCTTGATGTTCCCTAGGTGCCGTCCTCAGGCAGTGGGACAGGTCCAGCTGTGAGGCTGGACAGGCAGGCCTGGGCTCGAGTCCAGACATAGCCCCTGCAGGCTGTGCTTTCGGGCAGGTCTGTAACTTACCTGGATTCCACTTCCTTCCTTTTCTGGAGTGGGAGGGCTCATGGAGAGGCTCACGGCCCCTGCGCCGAGAACACTCTGCAACAAGCCACGCCAGAACCTCGTGGCTCAAAACCACGTTGCTTTGCTTACAAATCCGCACCGTCGCCCGATCGGCGGCTCTCTTCTCTACCTGGGGTCTTGTCAGCTAGACACACTTGCCAGCTCCCATCTCATGGTCAGTGAGACTGACAGCCTCCCCTGTGGCCTGGGCCTCCCCACAGCACGGAGGCTGGGAGCCAGGGCTGGGGCTGGAGAGTGGCGGGTGGAAGCTGCAACCCTTTCTCCACTCAATCTGGACACCACAGAGCTGCCCTTCTGCCATGCACTGTTTCCTGGGAGCGAGGTGCTAAGCCTGGCCCACCTTCCAGGGTAGGGAAAGCAGACCCCTTCTCTTGCTAGGGGAGAGGAAAATTCTAGAAGAGCGTGTAGGATGGGAGATACTGTCGCGGCCATCCTTGGAAAGCGCTCCCAGTCACCTGAGTCATCGGCGGCCACTTAAGGCCCAGAGGGTAAGGCCTGACCCTGACCTTTGCCCCTGACGCTGATGTACCAGCATCCCCTCTCTGCCCTGGGGGCCCTACCCTCCTCCAGGCCCTCCACCCCACCCTCCCTCCTGCCACAGGGACTTTGCACATGTGTCTACCTCTGTCTCTTCTCTTAGTTCACACCCACTCTTCTTTGGGGCCCAGCCCAAGGTCACCACCTCAGGGAAGCCCTCCCTGATCTCTCTGCCCTGACCCATCCCTTTCATCACCTTTTCTCTAGGCCCCCAGGCTCCTCCCTCAGAGCGCAGGGTCAGTCTGCAGTTCTGCCTCATATATAAATATCGTTACTTAGCAAACGTCTGTCTCTACAACTCCCTGCTCCTCCCCACAGACCGTAGGCTCTAGTCCTTAGCATGGATCCTGGCATTCAGTAGGTGCTCGATAAACAGCTGTTAAATGAAGAGAGAACAGAAGGCACTTGTATGAGTCAGAGTCCACCAGAGAAAGTGTAGGTTAACCTGTATATAACATAGGTAGGTACATAGGTAGGTAGATAGATAGATGGATGGATGGATGGATAGATGGATGGTAGATAGATAGATGGATGGATGGATGTTGCAAGGTCGGCCGATGAGGTGGGTGCCGGCAGACAAGTCGGCAGCCTGTAGGGCAGGCCTCTGGGAGGGCAGCTGGAACTCTCGGGCACAGGCTGAAGCTGCCGTCCAGGGGTGAAATTTCTTCTTCCTCAGGAAACCTCGGTTCTGCGCTAAAGCCTTTAACTGATGAGATCTGGCCCACCAGATGATCCAGGATAGCCTCCTGGACTTAAATGCGGCTGACTGCACATGACGGCCACACCTGTGCACGCCGGCCACGTCTGCCAAGTGCCTCCCAGCAGGAGAGACGGGCCTGTGAACAAGCTGGACCAAGGGTCCCACGGAGCATGGGACCAGGCCTGTCTGGAGGTGGATACGCGTGTGCGTGCGTAGATGTGTGAGTGTGCGCACATGCATGTGTGCATGTGTCTGTACACGTGTGTATGTGCAGCCTCAGGCAGAGCATTCTAGAAGCAGGGCAGGAGCTGCCTGCCTCATCCAACCCGGGCTTGGGAGGTGCAAGCCCCCCTGCGGCCATCCCTCACGGCTCGAAGCTCTCAGGAGCCAGCCCAGGTTCAAGGGCAGTGGGTACAGAACCCCCGCCTTGAGCAACAGGAAAACAATGGGGGCATGTTTTAACTTGAGGGCATGTTTTAAAACCACCATAGCTGACGTGGTTGGATAGATTTCCCAGAAAAATCACTCTCGCTGGGAGCCGGGTGCGGAGGTCAGAGGCTGGGAGGCCTGTTAGCTTTGCTCCTCTGAGCAGATCAAAACAGCCTCTGCAGAGTAGCAAAGGGTGGGCTGGGGAGAGGAGAGGCACCCCAGGGCCAAGGGCAGGGCCAGGGGGCCGGACAAGGACTCACGGTCAGTGAGCAGACGTCCTTTGGGCCAGGGAAGGCCAGAGGGCTTCCTGGAGCAGGGGGCAAGCGACAGGGGCTGAGAGGCCTGCTCTGCCCCCGAGGGGATCTGGACAGACCCTTTGGCGTGTCTGGACCAGTCCCCTGCTCTTCTGACCCCCAGCCGGCCTGCCCACGGATGGCCGAGGTCCTGGGGCACGTGTGTGGCGGAGACCCCGCCAGCGGGCGTTCCTCACGCACCGGAGCCGCTCTGGCTCCCACCCGCTTGCTCCTGTCTATGACACGGAGGGTAAGTGTTTAATTAGTCGCCTAATTGCCTGGGTAATTGGGAGACGTACTCAGCTCTCCAAGTAATCAGTCGGAATAGGCCTGGAAAATATCTGGCCCAATATTCATTAGTGTGGTTCAATCGTTACACAGTCACCGTGTTTGGTTCATGACGAGGCCCAGCAAACAGCTGCGCGCCCTGCAGCCACCCGCCAGCCCTGCTGGGGCAGGTCGCCCCGTGCACACCCTGGACCTCCCAACCCCTGGCCTCCTCCCCCCCACCCCCCACCCCCAGGGAGCCTGGCAGCCGGGGTACAGGGAGGGCTCAGTGCACTGGCCCAGCAAGGGGGTCCAGTCCCCATTGGCGGTGGGCCGGGGGGTAGGGGCTCTGGCCCATCACTGGTACCACCCGCACGCACAGTCCTTTATAGTTTACAAAGCAGGTGCCCAACCACAGGTCTCTGAATCTGCACAGCCCCGCAAGGTCCATAAATGTGCCCATTGTACAGACAGAGAAGCTGAGGCCAGAGGGACCAACCAAGCAGCCTGAAGTGGAGTCAGGTCTCCCCACTGGATCAGGAGCACCCCCGGAGTTGGGCACAGCCCAGGCAGGACAGCCCATCTGCTCCCTGTCCCCGGATCCCGCCGCCCACCGGGAGGTTTGGTCCTCCGTGGAGGAAGCTCCTGGCAGCAGAGGAATGTCAGTGGGAGCGCTGGGCCCCCAGAGGGGAAGGCAGAGTCCTCGCCTGATGTCTGCTGCTGGGAGTGAACGGCCACCTGCTGCCCCAGTGCTGGCCACTCACATCCTCTATGCCTGACCCCTGGTTGCCCTCCGCGCACCAGGCTCTGCGCTGGGCTGTGGTGGGCACAGCAGTGACCAGACGGGACCTGACTCTTGCATCCCCACCGACTTCTCAGGGCACCTGGAGGGAGGGGAAGGTGCTATAAGGGTCTTTATGGGGGAGGTGGAACCAGGCCGGGGTTGGGGCGCTCCCCGCATACTCGAGCCGGGGCCTGAAGGAGGGGGCAGAGGCAAGTGGGGGGGAGGAGAGGGAAAAGCATTCCCGGTGGCTGGAACAGCAAATGCAAGGTCCCTGAGGCAGGGGGAAGGCAGAAGGCCCTGGAGCTGCAGGTAGTGGGCGGGGAGGTGGGTGATGTCGGGAGGTGGGTGATGTTGGGAGGTGGGTGATGTCGGGAGGTGGGGCTAGGTCTGGGGTCTTGCTCTGGGAGTCGTGGGGGCCCTTGAGGAGGATTAAGGGGGCATTGAATGATGCTGTCTGGTTGGCATTTTTAAAAGACCCTCTGTAAGGAGGATGGGTGGGGGACCCAAGGGGAGGCCGAGAGACCAGTGCAGGGGGCCAGGTGAGCTCCGGACTCAGGCCCAGGCCCCAACCTTCTATGCCTGCTCTGGGCCCAGGAGGGGGGCCCATCCTGCTCTGGAGGCCACGGCCCTCCCTCCAGCTCTCACCAGCGCTGGCCCAGCCCAGCAGGGCTCCAGCGTGCTTCCTCCCTCAGTCAGGCCCACACCTTCCAGAGCAGCCTCCCTGCTGAACCGCCCGCCCCAGTGTTGCCCCAGCCCTCGGCGGCGACAGGCCACACTCGCTGGTCTTGCCTGAGTCCTATTGTGGTCGTGGGGGTTTGTTCACACACTGAAAGCCCTTAAAGTGCAGATGCGTTACCTCATGGACGGCACACAGAAAGAGCTGAACCAGAATCGGAAACCTGGCTTGGGTCCCAGCCTCACTGCGTGACCCTGGGCAAGCCACTCGCCCTCTCTGAGCTTCGTTTCTCATCTGGGAAATGGGGGAGAAAATAATACCCACTGATGGGATTATTGTGGGAACATGAACAGAGACATGGGGTACCTGGAAGAAAGTAATTTGGGGGATGGTAGTGTGAACAGCCACTGTAGGCAGTGTCCCCAGCTGCTGCCTGGGCTGGTGCTGGTCTTCACAAATGTCACCTCGTTTGGTTTAATCCTCCCACTCATTTTTTTAAAAAAGAGGGAAAATTCATACAACAAAAAATTAGTCACTGACCATTTTAAAGTGAACAATTCAGTGGTATTTAGTAAGTTTACAATGTTGTCCAAACACCACCTGTATCTAATACCCAAACCTTTTTATTGTCCCCAAAGGAGACCCCAAATCCATTAACAGTCGCTCCCTAGCCCCCCTCCCCCAGTGTCCGCCAACCACCAATTCTCTACGGATTTGCCTCTGCTGGACATTTCTCACAAATGGAATCATATACTATGTGTCCTTTTGTGTCGGGCTTACGTCACTCAGCATCACGCCCTCGAGGTTTGTCCACGCTGTAGCAGGTGTCAGAGCTTCACTCCTTCTGTGGCTGAATCATATTCCACTGTGTGGGTATCAGCCATCTTTGGCAGCAGGTATAATTATGGTCATTCTACAGATGTAGAAACTGAGCATCAGAAAGGTTTCTCTTGTCTTCGGAGCTTACAGCGTCAGGATGTGAGATATCGGAAGGGGTGTAGTTACTGTATCCAGTGCTTTTCATCCCTTGTGTGGACTCACGTTGGTCTGTTGTTATTTTCCTTCTGCTGGAAGGACTTCCTTTAACACTCCTGGTAGTACAGGTCTGCTGGGGGTGAGTTCTTGTAGCTTTTGTTTGTCTGAAAAACATCTTTATTTCACCTCCAGTTTTGAAAGAATTTTTGCCGGGTATAGAATTCTAGATGGATGGCATTTTAGGTCCTGTGAAGACATTGCTCCACTGTCTTCTTGCTTTATTACTTCCATGAGATACCTGCTGTCACGCTTATCTTTATTCCTCTGTACACGTGTCTTTTTTCTCTGCTTTTAAGATTTTATCACCGAGCTTAACGAGCTTTTGAGCAATTTGATTGATGTGTTTGTTGTAGTTTTCTTCATGTTTCTTAGACTTGGAGCATGTTGAGCTTTTATCTATGAGTTTATCGTTTTCATCAAATTTGGTAAATTTTCAGCCGAAGTTCTGCAAATATATTTGTTTCCCCATTTTCCTTCAGCAACTCCAACTACACAAATATTAGGCCACCGGAAGTTGTCTTTCAGACACAGCTGAAGATCTTTTTCATTAAAGAACATTTTTTTGTCCTTTCTATGTTCATTCTGCATAATTTCTCTTACTATGCCTTCCAGTTTATCAATCTTTTCTTCTACCATGTCTAATCTGCTATTAATACCATCTAGTGTCTTTTTTTATCTGAGTCATTGCTGTTTTCAACTCCAAAAGTTCAATTCGGGCCTTTTTTTTTTTCATATCTTCCATGTCTTTTCAAACATATAAAGTAGTTATGATAACTGATTAAATGCCCTTGTCTGTTCACTCTAACATCTGTGTCAGTGCTGGGTCAGTTTTAATTAAGTCTCATTGCGAATTTTGCGTTGCTGTTTGCTGGATGTTTTTGTAATCCTGTAAATATATCAATACCTGAGCCATGTTTGGGGGATGCAGTTAAATTATTGGGAAACTGATCCTTCCCAGTCTTGTTTTATTGTTGGTTTTGTGCAGCTCTCAACTTAGTGCTAATTATTCCCCGCCACAAGGCAAGACCTACCTGAATATTCTTCCCAAGGCCCTGTGAATGATGAGTTCTTCCAACATGAGTCTGCTGGTAGGAAAAGACATTTGCCCACCCTGTATGAGCACGGGACATTGTCCTCTTATCCTGGGATGATTCTTTCCCGGGGCATGGATAATTTCCCTACCTTCATGCAGCACTCAGTTCAGAGTCCTTCCTCTCTCTCCTTTTGGGTGCACCGTCCTGCAAATTCCCATTTGATATGCCCAGATTCTTGGCTCTTTCTCAGGTAGTTTGCCAGGTTATGTCCGGCTTCTTCCTTTCTGCCTCATGGTATGAAAAGTCTCCCAATGGCAGGTCACCTCATTTCTCCCCCATCTTTCAGAAATTTCTGTCCTTCACTGCCTGATGTCCAGCATCTTAAAAATCATTCTTTCTTATATTTTGTCTGTTTTCTTTAAAATAGTTGTTCCAGATGGGAAGATAAATCTAGTCCTGTTGCTTTATCTTGGGTGGAAGTGGGAATCCTCAGACAGTTCCCGTCGCAGGAAAATCAGAGCCCAGACGTGGGTCCTGGGGATGACATTTGAACCCTGGATCGAGCCAGGCCTGAAGTTAGGGATCTATCCCAGACAGTTCAGCTCGAAGAGGCAACAAATTCCCTCTTCTCTTTAGGCTGGTCAAGCTGGCTTTCGGCCCCTTGCTACTGCCAGGTTCCTATCCAACCATTGCAGCACGAGGCAGCTCCCTGGAGGTGAGACATGCAGCTATAGGAGAGAGTGGGAGTGAGTGCAAGGCTGGGCCGGGCTGGGACAGGTGCAGGGGCACAGAGTGAGTTCTGTGCTTCTGAAAACCCACCCTGACCAGGTGAGGAGAGTGGATGGGTCCCATGTTTCCCACTCGCAATCCTCCAAAGTTTTCTCGAAACACTTGGGATAAAGCCCAGGGTCCTCAGTCTGAACTGACGTGGCCAGGCCTCTGTTGCCCCCTCTCTTGCCTCAGTGCCCCTGCCCCAGCCCTGCAGGCTGCCAGCCCACGCCCGCCCCAAGGCCTTTGCACCGACTGTGCCATCTGGCAGGGTCATGCCCTTAGGCATCTGTGTGCTCCACAGCCGTGCCCTAGATCCCCGCACAGGTCTGGGCACACAGCGAGACAGCGCCCTTCCCCTCCTGGGCACCTTATGCCAAGGAGGGAACAAAAGGGGGGGCGGGCCCCTCAGAGACTCCTGTGACCCCAGAACTTCCTAGAACAGGCCCACCTCCGTGGGGCAGGGCCGGAGAGGCCTGGTCCCAGACCTCCAAACTGCCCTCCCAGCAGAACATCCCCATCCAGCAGAGAGGATGGGTGGGGGGAGTGAGGAAGGGAAAATAATTACTCCTCAGCCTCTAACCCTTTCCGGCAAGTGACTGGGTAATAAATAATCGCCACGTCCCTCCAGCGCGGTCCATCAGCAAGGCCTCCTGATTACTTTAGGTCACTTTGAAACCGCTTCCAGTCCCACTTTCAAATAAATAAAAAATTAACATGGGACCGGAGCAGAGACCCAGACGCAGGGGTCCCAGCCCCCTCCCTGAGGTGTGCCTGAGCCGGGGTGGGCGGTGCCCCCGGGGAGCCCCACGCACACCCCAGAGGTGGGGCTCGAGGCTGGCAGTCAGGGGAAGAACTGGCTGCCCGGCCCCCTCCAACCCCGGGCCAAGGACCCACCTGTCACACCTAGGGTCTCAGCTGGGAGGCGCCCACCCTGCAGGCCATTGCCCGGGCCCTTCTGTGGTCCTAGGGCACCGTGGTCTCAGGTCAGGCCCCGGACCCAGCGCCCAGCAGACGTGCTAGCCACAGCCCCTTTCCTCCCCGCCCCACTGGGCCGAGCCTCTCCATCCAGGGCTCCGTTGTGCCCTCCATAAATAAGCCTGGGGGTTGACGAGCTGAGCCCTAAATGCCCCTGAAGCTCTGGCATTGAGCCCCCGCCCACGGGGGGCCCTGACTTTCTCTCTTTGCTGGCTGGGGACCCCACTGCCTGTGTCTGGGCCGTGGCCAGGCCTCGGCTGCACCTCTGAGCCCCCCATGGATGGAGGGGTCTCCGGGGCAGCCCGGCCCCTCCCAGCCCTGGATCGCCCGGTGGGTGGGCAGGGGCCTCCTCTGATAGTGGCCAGGTGGTGGACAGAGAGGCAGAGACGAGGCCCGTCCCCGCCTGTCCCAGCTGGCTCTGCTCAGGGCACATTCCCCCAGTCTCACAGCGCCCTGAGCTGAGGGCCGGAGGGAGCCCCCGCCCAGACCCTGCCCGCTGGACGTGGGGGAAGGGCCCCCGCCCCGCTGTCCCTGGCCTCGTGGAGCTGCAAGCCAGCTGCAGGGTGGGAACAGAGCTCGCCTCCGCCTGCGGGTCGGGACAGTGAGGGGCCGTAGGGGTGGCCCGGACGCGGGGCTGGCGAACAGGGGCCGCGCGGGAGTGAGGCGGCTGGGGGCACGTGGGGCCCCTCGGCCAGACCCTCCGTGGGAGGATTAATTAAACACATCTCCCTCTGCCGCCACCGAGCGATTTCTGCTGACCTCACCAGGCCGATTAATATTTAATTAGCCTTTAGGAGGAAAGGAAAGCACTTATTAACCTGCTACGTCAATCTGTCAGCGCCGGGGCTGGGTCTCCAATGCACTGCTTGGCAGGGAAGGGGGAGAATAATGACCGGGCGGGCTGCGCTGAGATCTGAGGGCTGGGCTTAGGCCTCAGGGCCTGAGTGGGGTGGGCAGGGGCAGGGGCAAATGGTGCCCGTCATCGGGCCGGGCATCCTCTGAGCACCCGCTCCCAGGCCTGCTTCCAGCTCAGGGTCCCAGCCGCTCTGGCCCCAGCGCCTCGGGCTGACTTGTGGGGGAAGGAGCGTCGGGGGCCAGGATTGGGGGGGCTCCATGCTGAGGCCCCGGGAGTGGCGGGGACTGCGCCAGGCAGGGCCCTGCTGCCACAGGAGGTGATGCCTGATCTGGACAACCAGACCCGGCAGCTGCCGCCCAGCTCAACGTTACCCTCGGCGGGGGCGGGGCGGGGGCGGGCTACGAAAGCCAGAAGAGTGAGCTTCGTGTGAACTCTGCTGATCTTCCAATTCTAGGATAACAGACAGACTCCACGTTCCAAAAGCTGGGCGAGCCGGGCTGGAGCGAGTGGCCCACGCCAGCGCCTGTGGCCCCAGCACATAGTAGGTCCTCAGCAGACTCTGGAGGGATGGACACACGGAAGTGTGTGGAGCAGAGCCGGAGGTGGCAGACTCAGGAGGACAGCCCCGGCCACCACTGCTGCAGGGGCCTCGGCACCTGGCCCCACCCACTGCGGCTGCCGAGCCCTGGCCACACCCCTACCCTCATGGTCCCTCCCACAAAGCCCCTGGACCTTGGCACGTGCTGTGTGTGCACCGAAAAGGGACTTCGGCTCTCAGCAAGCTCTGGGGAGGCCATCAGGGCCTGTGGGGCTGGAGGGTGTCCCCATGCAGACATTGCCCAGATGGGGGCTACGATCGGGGTGGGGGGGGAACACCTAGGATGGGCTGCCATGGGGGGACTGCCCAGTGCCCCTCTCTGCCAGCCAAGCCCCCAGGCCCCTCCTGAGCCCAGAGCCAGGCACACGGATGACTCTGCCAGGACCTCTCTCCCCGATGCTGGCAGGTGGTGATGAAATTTTTAAATAAGACCAAAAAAATTAAAACTCCCCCGAGTTTTATTAACTAGCTAGGTAATTATAAACTGGCTTAATTAAAATCTACCCTCAGAAAGCACTGCTGGGCGGCCTGACGGGGAAGGAAGTTGGGGGCGTGGCTTCCTCGTGACAAGACTCGGTTTCCCCAGGCATAAAGTAGGGAGGATACTAACCCCTGACCGAGAAGGGCTGTTGGGAGCATTGAATGCAGAGTTCACCTGCTCTGAGAGGCCAAGGCCCCGCCCAGACGGCACAGCAGTAACTAGCAGGGCTGAACTTGACCCTGAGGAAGACAGGGGCTTCCCTTCCAGGCCTGACCCACGCAGCGGTGGGTGCAGAGGGTCCCGGAGACCCTCACAGAGAATGCAACAAGCATGGGGGCCTGGGGGCCAGCAGAATCTTGCAGCCCAGGCTCATCCTCCCTCTGAGAAGGTGATGGCGGAGCCAGGCCTTGTAGGACGAGTGGGGCTCACTTGCTGAAGAGCAGCCGGCCTGGGGGGCACAGCCAGTGGAGGGCGCGGCACAGGCAGGGCCCGGAGGTGTGGGTGGCCCGGAGGTTCAGGGAGGCTGCGGCTCGGTGGGAGCAGGACAGGGGGAGGGGCAAGGGGCTGGGGGAGGCCGGCTCGGAGGCCGGGCTTGGGGTCTGGGGCTCAGCCAGGGCGGGGAGAGGAGGCGGCCAGCCAGCGCCCTGGGGTATCTTGCTCTGGCGGCCTCTCCCTGACCAGGGCAGCCGTGAGGGCGGCGGCAGGGCCCGGGAGGGGTGGGCACAGCTCGTTGGTCCTGGGGCAGAGCTTCCAGACCGTTTGCCCAGCGTCAAGCCACTGCGGCGCTCATGGATGGGACCCTGCTGGGCCTGGAGGGACGGGACCAGGACCCCAGAGGGGCCCGACACCCAGTGGGGAAAACGCGGCCGGGGAAGCGGGAGGTGCTGGGAGGACGGAGGTGTCTGGGGAGGAGTCCAGGGGCTGGGACGCAGGGAGAGAGACAGAGACAGAGAGAAAGGGACCCACCCCGGCGTGGGACGGGGAAGGTGCCCCTGGCAGAGGCGTAAGCAGTCGCCTCCGCAGGGGGTCCCGGGGCTCCTGGTGGCCCCGAGGCTGGAGGAGGTTAGGCCCGCTCACCCTGTCACCCCGCAGGGATTGAACGATGGGTCTTCCCCACCCCCACGCCGCCTCCAGCCCTGAGAGCCTGGGGTGTCCCCACCACGGCCCCCCGACCCGTCTGCCCACCGAAAGGGAGGCCTCTCCACGGCAGCCAGGGCCGCAGGGAGTCTTGGGGTCAGTCAGGCCCGGGTCTCCTCCTGGCTTGGCCACTGGCTGGCTGTGTGGCCTTGGGCGGGTCATCTGGCCCCAGCCTCAGTTTCCCCACCTCCTAGGCTGCTGTGAGTACATTAAGCAGCCAGCACACAGTAGGTACCCTCACCAGGGACCCGCCAGCCACGGCCCCGCGCGTCCCTCAAGGCGGGGAGT